CTACAATATTGTAAAGTAATTTGCCTCCAATTAAAATAAATAAATTAATATTAAAAAAAATAAAAAAGTATCCAAGCTTCCTGGACCACTTTGATGTGAGTAGCTCTGAATGTCCCCCAAATTACTCAAGCATGAGTTATTTCAGGGTTTACTCAAAGTGAAATTAATCTCCAGTCTTTTAACTGCTCATGTAGAAATGCTTCTAAATGTTTAAAATTATCCTTACATTTAGCCTTTGTCTAATTCTTCTGGGAAAACTAAAATTTAATTGAGTTGTAAAAAAGAAATATAACACAGGTATTGATTCAATATGAAAAAGGCCTTTTATCCTTCAAAACAATTTAAAAAATCAAAGTGGCTTGAGGACAGTTTAGCATTTTGTAGAAACTGGTAACACTCTCAAACAATTCTATTATATTTGCAAACTCTATTTTCTAAAACAGAAAGCCTCTTTTGCTACTCCCTCCCTCTCTTTTTTTCTTATATTTATTTCTGTCCTGCCTCATTCTAGAAACCAGAGCCTACCAGTTGTCAACATAAGCACCTAGAACTGTGGCACTGATGTAGCAAAAATATCATAAATTATATGGCTATTGATTTTCTTCTCCTGGTGTCTTCATGGTCTACTCAATACCATCACTTCTTCTAACTGCTCAAATACCATCCTCCTCCCAAAGAAAGCATTTAATGCCTTGTATTTCAGAACCCTGAGAAACCAAATTTGTCTATAATGATAAAATCACACTCACCTTCATTTTTCTATTGTGTAAATAAAAATCTGTACACACCATGATTTGAAACCTTGGGGATGCTGAGCAATATCACATTTGGAGTCAGTTGATTTAACAAAAAAAAAGGACAATCATAAAAAGTCCCAGGCTAGATGTCCTGATTCTAAGTTGAATTCAGGTATTCTTGACAGCCTTGGTAACTGAGGTAGAACTGTTTCTTTTCTATCTTCCCAATGAGAATTCTTGATGGAAAACAGGATTTGTGAGGTCTAAAGAGAATGTACAATTCTAAGAAGTATGTTTTATGCTTTGAAGGGACCTCTGCAATGATCAGAAAGTTGGAGCCAATTTAGTATAAAAAATTAGGACTCTGTGACAGAGGTTGACTTTACACAGTTGAGCTAGCATCACTCTACCCAGTGTCCTTGACTCATAGGAATGCCATGGGAGACTGACTGAAAAATTGTGCAGCTGATTGAAAGGACTCTGGCACGGTGTCTGGTCACTGTCTTCTACAGTCAAGGGCATAACACCCTAGAATCTTGATCCAGAACTTAGTGATAGTCATCAACAATGCAGACATTGTCTTCTGCTTGGATAGGCTTCAGAGCTGCATTTTTCAAAGCTCCAATGTGAGAATCTTTCAATGGAATCACACTGCAAAAGAATAACATGAGTAAGAGAAAAGATCACTTCTCAAGTATGAGCAGCCTATTTGTTTATGTTAATTCAAGCCTGGGTATTTGAATTTCTCAGAGACCTATTCAAACATGCTATGAAATGAATAGAAGCTTTCAGAATTGTGAATATGAAGTTACAGGAAATGATTTTTTATAAGGAGGCAGAAAGTCACACCTTTTGGTTTCAAAAAACTCACACTGGTCTCTTTCAAGACACTCGTGCAATAGAACACAAAAATTTGTCATCTAAGAAAACAAATACCACACATCAAATTGAAGTACTAAACCAGGATGCACAGTCTCAAAGATGGGCAGGAAATGGTTTGGCTGGTGTTTTTCTAGCTGAGAACTGTGACCCTTTAACGAATGTTATTTAGTGGTATGTATCCCATATTTGAATCATTAGAAATGACCCTGATGCTGGGAGGGATTGGGGCAGGAGGAGAAGGGGACAACAGAGGATGAGATGGTTGGATTGCATCACTGACTCGATAGACATGGGTTTGAGTAAACTCTGGGAGTTGGTGATGGACAGGGACGCCTGGCGTGCTGCAATGAATGGGGTCACAAAGAGTTGGACACGACTGAGTGACTGAACTGAACTGAACTGACCCTGTATTTAAGATAAAAATATATAAGTCTACAAAATATCAGAGCATATCAGATGTAGTAAAATAGTATTGCTTCACCTAAGTCTGATACTGTAAAGAGCAATATTGCATAGGAACCTGGAATGTTAGGGCCATGAATCAAGGCAAATTGGAAGTGGTCAAACAGGAGATGGCAAGAGTGAACGTCAACATTCTAGGAATCAGTGAACTAAAATGGACTGGAATGAGTGAATTTAACTCAGATCACCATTATATCTACTACTGTGGGCAGGAATCCCTTAGAAGAAATGGAGTAGCCATCATGGTCAACAAAAGAGTCCAAAATGCAGTACTTGAATGCAATCTCAAAAATGACAGAATGATCTCTGTTTCCAAGGCAAACCATTCAATATCACAGTAATCCAAGCCTATGCTCCAACCAGTAACACTGAATAAGCTGAAGTTGAACGGTTCTATGAAGACCTACAAGACCTTTTACAACTAACATCCAAAAAAGATGTCCTTTTCATTATAGGGGACTGGAATGCAAAAGTAGGAAGTCAAGAAACACTTGGAGTAACAGGCAAATTTGGCCTTGGGAGTACGGAATGAAGCAGGGCAAAGGCTAATAGAATTTTGCCAAGAGAACACACTGGTTATAGCAAACACCCTCTTCGAACAACACAAGAGAAGACTCTACACATGGACATCACCAGATGGTCAACACCAAAATCAGATTGATTATATTCTTTGCAGCCAAAGATGGAGAAGTTCTATATAGTCAGCAAAAATGAGACCGGGAGCTCAGATCATGAACTCCTTATTGTCAAATTCAGACGTAAATTGAAGAAAGTAGGGAAAACCACCAGACCATTCAGGTATGCCCTAAATCAAATCCCTTATGACTATATAGTGGAAGTGAGAAATAGATTTAACGGACTAGATCTGATAGAGTGCCTGATGAACTATGGACGGAGGTTTGTGACATTGTACAGGAGACAGGGATCAAGACCATCCCCATGGAAAAGAAATGCAAAAAGGCAAAATGGCTGTCTGAGGAGGCCTTACAAATAGCTGTGAAAAGAAGAGAAGTGAAAAGCAAAGGAGAAAAGGAAAGATGTTCCCATTTGAATGCAGAGTTCCAAAGAATAGCAAGGAGAGATAAGAAAGTCATCCGCAGCGAACAAGGCAAAGAAATAGAGGAAAACAACAGAATGGGAAAGACTAGAGATCTCATCAAGAAAATTAGAGATACCAAGGGAACATTTCATGCAAAGATGGGTTCAATAAAGGACAGAAATGATATGGACCTGAGACAAGCAGAAGATATTAAGAAGAGGTGGCAAGAATACACAGAAGAACTGTACAAAAATATCCTCACGACCCTGATAATCATGATGGTGTGATCCCTCACCTAGAGCCAGACATCCTGGAATGTGAAGTTAGGTGGGCCTTAGAAAAATATAACTACGAACAAAGCCAGTGGAGGTGATGGAATTCCAGTTGAGCTCTTTCAAATCCTGGAAGATGATGCTGTGAAAGTGCTGCACTCAATGTGCCAGTAAATTTGGAAAACTCAGCAGTGGCCACAGGGCTGGAAAAGGTCAGTTTTCATTCCAATCCCAAAGAAAGGCAATCCCAAGGAATGCTCAAACTACTGCACAATTGCAGTCATCTCAGACACTAGTAAAGTAATGCTCAAAATTCTCCAAGCCAAGTTTCAGCGATACGTGAACCATGAACTTCCATAAGTTCAAGCTCGTTTTAGAAAAGGCAGAGGAAACAGAGATCAAATTGCCAATATCCACTGGATCATCGAAAAAGCAAGAGTTCCAAAAAAACATCTATTTCTACTTCATTGACTATGCAAAAGTCTTTGACTGTGTGGATCACAATAAACTGTGGAAAATTCTGAAAAAGATGGGAATACCAGACCACCTGACCCACCGCTCGAGAAACCTATATGCAGGTCAGGAAGCAACAGTTAGAACTGGACATGGAACAACAGACTGGTTCCAAATAGGATGTGGAGTACGTCAAGGCTGTATATTGTCACCCTGCTTATTTAACTTATATGCAGAGTACATCATGAGAAACGCTGGGCTGGAAGAAGCACAGGCTGGAATCAAGATTGCCAGGAGGAATATCAATAACCTCAGATATGCAGATGACACCACCCTTATGGCAGAAAGTGAAGAGGAACTAAAAAGCATCTTGATGAAAGTGAAAGAGGAGAGTGAAAAAGTTGGTTTAAAGCTCAACATTTGGAAAACTAAGATCATGGCACCTGGTCCCATCACTTCATAGGAAGTAGATGGGGAAACAGTGGAATAGTGTCAGACTTTATTTTTTTGGGCTCCAAAATCACTGCAGATGGTGATTGCAGCCATGAAATTAAAAGATGCTTACTCCTTGGAAGGAAAGTTATGACCAACCTAGATAGCGTATTAAAAAGCAGAGACAGTACTTTGCCAACAAAGGTCCATCTAGTCAAGGCTATGGTTTCTCCAGTGGTCCAGCACTGAATGAAATCACATAACAAACTAAACAACCCATTTAAATGATCCCTGAAACAATATGTGCAATTTAGTTCTCTTGTGCTAAGAGATAACGTTTGAGGTGTTATTTCTGTAGCAGTTATGACACAATTCCAGGGATATATAGAGATGCTTGGAGAAGGAACTGGCAACCCACTCCAGTATTCTTGTCTGGAGAATCCCAGGGACAGAGAAGCCTAGTGGGCTGCAGTCTATGGGGTCGCACAGAGTCAGACACGACTGAAGTGACTTAGCAGCAGCAGCAGCAGCATAGAGATGCTAAAATCATCACTAGAAGGTTGAACAGCAATGGAGGTGCTCTATATACTATATTTTTCAGGATCCAGAGTATAAAATGGAGGACTCGGAAAGAAAAGAGGAGAGGGACAGTGAAATTTTCCTTAGGTTTACTAGAGTAAGAACATCAAAAGGCATTACTAACACAAACCATTTCAAACTTACCGTAGTAGCTCCGCCTTGTTACCCAGGCAAAAATATCCTAAATTGAGGGGAAAATGAAGAGAAAATTAAACATGCAAGCCAAAGAGTTCATGAAAAATTTTTTCCAAACTAGTACATTATTACAATTATTACTTTAATATGAGCAAAATCAGTACAGCTCTCAGAGTCTAAAAAAAAAATTTATTTAGAAGAAAGAATATTTTTGAAAAGAAGGAGAAAAAAAATCAATCTGGACCCTAACCTGATAACTCCAGGTAACTTCTCTTGAATCTCTAGGAGCCAAGTAAGCCCCTTGGTATAAAGTATCTTGTGATTCATAGGTTTAGTGTATTGACCTACATGCCCTAGCTTACATTAATGCCATTATATTTCACTGAAAAAATCCTGAATATTGCGCTTTTCCCATAGATGACAGGTTTTACACACACATACACACACAACTGGTGGAAGGAGACCAGGAGTCGTTAGATGACTGTCATGTGAAACCCTTTGTACTTCTCCTAGCTCTGAAATCATGTACACTCCTAATGTCTCTTGTGCTTCTTCTATTAAGTGGGTGTTATAAAACTATCAACAGTTTTACCCCCGATAGGGATAAAAATTTGTTATTGAGGGAATGGGAAAAGAACAAAATGGGAGGGAAAAATCTTGTATATTACAGTGGCTTTTGACTTCCAAATCTCAACTTTACACTGCTGCTGCTGCTGCTAAGTCGCTTCAGTTGTGTCTGATTTTGTGCGACCCCATGGACGGCAGCCCACCAGGCTCCCCCGTCCCTGGGATTCTCCAGGCAAGAACACTGGAGTGGGTTATCATTTCCTTCTCCAATGCATGAAAGTGAAAAGTGAAAGTGAAGTCGCTCAGCCATGTCTGACTCTTCAGGACCTCGTGGACTGCAGCCTACCAGGCTCCTCCGTCCATGGGATTTTCCAGGCAAGAGTATCGGAGTGGGGTGCCATCGCCTACTCCAACTTTACACAACCAGTGCTTATTTCTCCATATTTAAGTTCTCCTATGGGGAATTTAAATATCATGTTTATGGAACAATAAATTTAAGATAAATAAAAAATAAGGAAAGAACAAGGTAAGAACCAAGGAAGTTACGTGAAACTGATATTATATAGAATGTACAGCTACATGCATTTGGCTCAAGAATACTCCTATGGGCTCAAGAATATTCCTGAATATTTCAGTCCTGAGGTGACTTACTTCTCCTAATCCAGAAAACCACAAACATGAGCAGCAACGCCAAAATAGTAACAGATATTCCAGTGTAGACTCCCTTGTTGGTGCTCATCCAGGTTTCTTGTGCCAGTGCCACAAGCTACAGAAACATCAGCAGATCAAACACAAAACAGAAAAATAAAACCATCTTGTTAGAGTTATAGGCAGAAAACATCTCAGAAAATAATATTCCCAGACACATTATTGTTTATTGGCCCCTGGCTAGTTCTGGATCATGAGGGGTAAGACCAAATGATGTAAAGTTATAGCCTTATGATGAAATTCTAAGACAACTCAAAATTCAAACTGTATTTGGGGGTGGTGGAAATGTTTACATCTTACTAGCGGTGGTATTTAGAGAAGGGTACAGATTTGTTAAAACTCAAACCGTATGCTTCAAATGAGTGTGCTTTATTATTATAGTTTATACATATTGTAAAAATAATAAGCTCTCTTCATAAATAATCCTCTTATGATACTAATAAAAAACAATTTTGGTTCCTATACAAGTTACCATGGTGGTGCTATCTGAATGTGTTCAGTTCCTGAAACTGGCCTTTAATTAAAACACTTTTTTGAACTAGAATTCAAGATTCTGTGTCTTTGTAAATGGGCATGAAAGTAGCTGCTCAGATTCATGGCTCTGCTTAACAATTAAAATGCTATGCAATTGGGAAAAAAAATTCCTAGTGTGAGGGATCATCACGTCCTAGAGTAAACCCAAAACATACCAGGCCATCATGCTTGCCTCCTTTACATAGCTTAATTCTAATTCTAAAGATGTCCCACCAGGTAGGTATTTTAACAGAAAGGAAGTAGAAAATCAGAGAAAAAGATTAAGTCTCAAGTCTCCTCCTGCATAAGAGTTTAATCTCTGGAGTCAGAATCCCAGATTAACTTTTATTTAGTTGCTCTGTGACCCTAGTAAGTTATTTAGCCTCTCCAAACCTCTTTTTCTGTCAAATGCAGATTAAATAGGGTTTTGGGGAAAGGTACTTCAGGTACCTCCTGATAAACACTATGAGGAATACAGAAGAGGGTGACCTAGCCTCTGAGCTGTCCTTGCCTAAATGGAAAACAGTCAGTGCCTTGGGAGGGAAAAGCTGTGTTATCACCTTATTTGAGGGAGGTAAAGCAGTTAGATGGAATACAGGGTTACGGGAAGCAGTCTTTGCTTGCTTTTTAAAAAATATTATGTTACATAAAAACAGGAAGTTCATTTCAGAGCGTGCAGCTCAGGAGTAAGAAAGAAAACAAAAATCAACCATAATTTCAACATCTAGAAATAATTACTATTACCATTTTTCATTACATACCCTTCTAGAATTTTATCTTTCTAGTACTTTTCTTAACAGAAACAGTTACCCTATCCACTGTATACTACACTATATACATTATTTTATTTCATATCTATAAACCATATAATATATATATATTTGTGTTTTGTTTTTTTTTTTCAGTTTTGGCAATGCTACATGGCATGTGGGATCTTAGTTCCCTGATCAGCCATCAAACCTGTACTTACTTCATTGGAGGCATGGACTCTTAATCATTGGACTGTCAGGGAAGTCCCAATGCTATTTGAAAACTTAGTTTTTTCATTTAACAATTGACACTATCTTCTCATGGCAGTAAGCACACTGCAGTGACATTGCTAATGGCAATAAATGGGCATGCTTAATTGATAAGTAATTAATCTCCTATTATGGAATGTTTAGGTTGTTTGTCACATTTTCATGATTATAAACAGCAACAATGTATATCTTGTCTCATACATCTTTATGTATATGTTCATTCTCTCCTTAAGATGCAGATCAATAAGTTGACCTATTGGGTGGTCTATATGCTGCCTGGTTTTAAGATACCTGGGAGACACCTTGATATCTTCACAGTCAAGACACAAAAAGCCCACGACTGTGCTACCACCTATTGTGAACCTGCTTCTATATTGCTTATATTATAAAGAAGAGATTAACTGCTACTAAATATACCTGTCCTGCAGGTAACTGAGGTCAAAAACAATCTTATTCAGAGTGTTTGTCTCTTTTTTTTAAACTAGCATAAGTCTGACTGACAGGACATTTACATGGTGGCAGTTCTGCTATTTAACAAGCACAAACAAATTCAGCCCATATTCATCAGAGCAATCAGTACCCATATCATCAGAGTGATTAATCTTTCATATCATTCCTACCTGGTAGTATTCTCATTGTCACCAAGTTATGCAATATAAGGCCATTTGACGTCACATTAACCCCACTTTGCCTGAACTTGAATTTCTCTTACAATGTCCATGCTGCAACTTCTCACCACTTGCAATCAAGATTACTCTCATACCTGAATATGTTCATTTTTTTTGCTTCTAGGAGTTATTTGCACATAGTGAAAGGAAAGTTGTTTCACCCAAGGGATCCAAAAGTAAAAATCTCACTGATAAGTTCTTCTAACTTATGCACAAAGATGAGGCTTTCATGAATATTATGAGACTATATAGTCCCTTGGATTTTTCCCAAGCTAATTGTGGGAAAGGTTCGAGAGCAAATTACAGAATTACAAAGTTGTTGAAGACCTTAGGACCTTAACATGTCATCATATGGGGAGGATATATATAGAAAGACCCAACAGTGGCCTCAAATTTTCTCTATAGGAGGAAAATTGGGTTGGAAATGGATATTAGGGGGGCTATGTTTAAGGAATCACACTTTCATTGACATAATATTTTTGGTGGGGATGGCCCCCATTCCACTATATCAATTCAAGGTATGTTATTTCTCTAACAATGATCTACATCTTTCTTGGTATGTAATGTTAATTCACTATGCCTGAAATAATTCTGCTGGGAGCCATTATGGGAGATCCCACCCATGACAAGGTCATGAAGAAAATACCTGACACGCAAGGCCGTTCAGGATCGAGGTCATGGGGAAAAAACCTGACACACAAGGCCATTCAGGATACAAGGGACCCTCCAGGTTGGCCTCGGCCTCTACCCCACCCTGTATCCTCCCCACTTTTCTGTTGTTGTTCTTGTTTGCCCTGCTACAGATTCTTGTGTTGCCTGCCGAGAGCTCTCCTGCTCCTCTTTCATTGAATAAAAACCAACTTAAAACCCTAATTAATAAATCTCCTAGATGCTGGTATCCTATGAAGGGGCCAGGGATGAAAGAAATGCTTCAATTCAAACCCTTTGGCTGGCATTCTGGCTTTTTTGATAAATGTGTGCTTCCCATTGCAAGAGATAGCTGGTGACTTCTTGCAGGTAGTTAACTTTTAGACTAAGAGCCTGTTTTGTGCTATATCTGCTGTTTTTGCAATCCTTTGCATTTCTGTTCCGTAATAATGTAATCCTATCTGGTTCCCATAGAGATGACCCCTAATAGAAAGAAAATAGATTAACCACAAATAATACAGGGTCGGCTACTGAAGTTGCTTAAAGTTACACCAGATGCAAGCCATAAATTGTCAACAGGCCTGAAGGCCAAAAGATATTATACATAGAGATTAACCATAAAAAAGGCCCTAATAGGCACAGAGCCCTTTGGGGGGTGAGGAAGCCCTATTAGAGAACACAAAAAATATTATTTTAAAAGTGGTTATTGGATCAATGTTTGATTGCTGTTAATGTGCTGAGGTTGTGCAGTGGAAACTATTGTTAATATAGTTAAAGATCCAGAAAAATAAGAGTTTAGCCCTAGCGTAAAAACAATAAGATAATTGTTAATTTTAACCAGGAGTGCTAAACAGGGGCTGCCTCAGAGTCTTTGTGTGTTAAACTTTTTAGATAAATTTAGCTGAGAACTTCTGCAAAAAGACTGATCTTTGTGTTAACAGGATTGTATTTCTACTAAGATACAAACTGCTGTACCATGAGATTGCCACTTTTCTGTTTTCTGCTAAGCTCAAGGCCAAAAGATAATGTACAAAAAAACCTATGGAAAAGACTCTCATAAACAAAAAAGTATGCAGAGAACACCTGGCTTCGTGAAGGACAAGCTGATGTGATGTTAAACTAAGTCTGTGTGCTTATCTTCCCCCTTAGAAATGTGCTAACTTAGGGTATAAAAGCTACGGTGAAAAATAAAGCACGGGCCAGACTCTGCTGCACACCCCGGCCTGGTCTCTCTCACTCTCTCTCTCACTTGCCGATGCCATTCATCCTGAGGGTTCCCCTGGATCCTGCTGGGGCAAGGACCCTGGCATAATTCACTCTTCTTTTCTTATTTTCTGGTCAGCAGAAAATCTGTCCTGGGTCTATATGTGTATCTAGAGTAAAATATCACTTTTCAGGTCTTTCTAACAAAGTAGTACACCTATATAGACTTTTAAAATTAATTAAAGTATCCCTATTTAAGAATCAGATTCTTTTCTTCCTTTATTTTCTAAATTAGAAACAATCAATATGTGGACTAGTCTGACAATAATAATCTCTAAATGTAACTTGATTCCAAAAGAGACATATCAGTGAATCAGGATAATAAAATAGGAAGGAATATGCTTACAGTTTGATTGTTATGCCAGTGGGGATCTGGAGTCTGTGCCACAGTGCCATTTCCATCTGCTCAACATGAAAGAAAATTAATAAGAATTACAAAACTTTCCTGCCAACACCAAATATATTCACACTGCCTTTTGGTAATGAAGGGAAAGTTGAATAATCATATGGCCTAATGCTGTAGGCATCCCAAGTTAATATCAAGTTACTAACATTTATTAATTTAAGCAGTAAGGTGGTGCTTCTTAACCATTTTGTCATGGACACTTTGAAAATGAACCCTTTTTTTCTCCCTATGAAAAAAAAACTGCATGCTCACAGAAAATTTACTGACAATTTTAGACAAGTCAGAGTGACCCATTCTCAGAACTAGGTTAAAAATTACCAATTACAGATAAATAATCAATATTTTCATGGCAGCTCAGAAACTTCCAATGAGGGCTCAAGAGGTCATTACACATCCAAAGAGCAGAACCACTCTGTTCAAAATGAACATTACATTGGTTTTACACTCAAAATGTCAGTGAAATTCACTAAGATACCTCAAACAGGTGGCATCCAACTCCTACATTATATGCCTGTGTGCCCAGACACTGATCCAAATGTGCTTTAGAAAATATGTTACATCACTCCCAAAGCCAGTATACTTTATACGACCTAAAATCCCAATATAAAAGAATATTATGCCTTAAAGTTTTGAATGTCCAAACTTTAATAGTGTTTTGAAATATCTCTTTAGTCACACAGAACATATACTGTTGGCCCTTCTAAGCAACTATAGGTCAAATACAGGATTCTCACTTTACCGAGTATCTATTATATACAAGCACTTTACTACCTTATACGAATTTTCTTAATCCAAAATTTCAGATGACGTGCTGAAATGGTTGAAGTTTCCAACTATACTAAAGGACAAGAGCCTCAGGTCATAACCACTGCACATATTATGTTCCCATTTAATGAAAATACTGCAGGTCTCAGAGATTCCCATACTACTGACAGAGCTATAAAACCATCATTTTCTAATGGTAGTGAAATCATGAACTAAACATATCCCAGTAAGTTCTCAAACTTTACATTACTGTATCTACAATTTAAACATTCCGACACTACCTCTTCAAGAGATAAAGACAGTATCTACAGTCTACTCTCTGTGTATGATTTATGTTATAACCTTAAATCCTTAAGCTATAGAATGAGTGATGTTGTAAAAAAATAGCAAGGACTTGAGTCAGATAAAACTTGACTTCAGTGTTGACATGTCACTTACCAATGTGACCTTGATCAATGTCCTTTACATACACATTATATATATATGCATGTAAGTTTTGTATTTATATTTCTAGCTGGAGTAACCTTGAACTACAAGCTGTTGCTAGCACCCGTCTCATAAAGTTGTCACATTATATGATGCATGTAAGGTGCTTAACACCATATTAAACAAATATCAGGTATCACAATTATGTTGAAAATATAACATTAGAATCAATGGGGAAGGGACACCATGCAATGGATTTTCCAAATATCATGTCCTTCATTCCTTACAAACATGTAGTGAGGAATGAAACCACTTGCCCATGGGCGTGCAGCTTGAAACTGCCATGGGCGGATAGTTGAATTGGAAGCTCTTTGTCTCCGAAGTAAAACTAAATATCCTCCTCAGTCTGGCAATGGCAAGAAATAAACCTGCTCTGAAATAATTAAATGAGATAATGTACAACACTTTCTTGGCACAAGCATCTGAAAAGGTAGGTGCAGGCCATATGAAACCAAAATTCTTTCTGGACTAACATCCTTTGCTTTGTGAGGCTTTAACCCACTGAAGTGTGACTCAGGCACTGTGAGGATTTGGCTGAAGGGCCTCAGAGATGCTGCCAGGACAGCAGCAGTCACAGAAGTCGTGGGGACACAGCTGCTCCAATGTCTGTTTCGTGCTCGCAAGTCTACCTTGACCAGGTTTTAGTGACATATTTTAGAGAACAATTTTCCGTTTCCTACTTTGTTCTTCCTCGTAGCCTAAAAGTGTGAGGTGCAATTGTTCCAACTGCTCTTATGTGTATTTTTATCTGCTTTCTCTTTGTTTTTGGGCCCAGAAACAGTTCACACCAAGGATTCCACTTTCAAAACCAAATGTCACTATTAGCTAATTCCAGTTAAATCGGTCCTTCTCTGAGTCCCGCTGCATGTCCATTTTCAATTAACAGCTTCCTTGACTGATTGGCAAAGTAGCCCACCCTGGGTGTCTGCTACAGATTAGTACCTCCTAAGCATGATGAATCATACACAGAAGTCTTACAAAATCTGACCATGTTTGGATGCTTCACAGGCACATGGACAAATAAGCCAGTTCTGCTTTACAAAGGGGTCACATGTGGTGCTCTCCAAATTTACCACCATGGGTAACAGAGTTAGCTGGGAAAGATGACAATTCAATATCATCTTTCTCCATTATAGGAAAAACAGACTAATCTTACATATCAAAAGAATATGGACTTTCCAAAACAAGGGAGAACTGGGAGACTTTTGGAGTGGAATAGCACAGTCTTAGTGGGACCTGCCTCTTTGGTTCTGGTGTCCATGTCCTCAACCCAACTCAAAGTGGGTTCATCTGAAATGAACACTCGACAAGGCAGCAGGGGAGCCTCCTGGCTTGGTGTAGTTTCTGGGGCTTAGAGGAAGCATAAACAGGTGACCAGTATGGTCTGGACCAGTTTGGATTTAATTGTTTTAAGGCTCTGTCCAGGGAAGTACACCTAGGAATAAGTTTAAAGGCAAGGCTGATTCATTTTATTTAGGAAAATGTGGATATGCATGTGGATGGTCCCAAATCATACAAGCTGCCTATGTCACTCAAATGTACATATTTCTGGACATTCTAAGTAACAGTCATAATGGCCACTCTATCACTTACCTTCTAAATGTGTCCCAAGATCTTTATCTCAAATAATGCTTGTAAGAATAAGTGATATTCCATCCATTTTCCACAGGATAAAAACAGATTCAAAGAGGGTAATAAGACATTTGTTCAAGTTGCATAGCTGAGTGGAATAGCCATTGTTGGCATTCAAGTCATGCTTCTCTTATTTCTGAATATGTGCTCTTAACAATGTGCTAACATTTATCAAAATTTGAAAGCTCCCAGGTGTTCAGGAAAGAAACTGAAGTTACCTGTTGAACAAGAGTGCCATGGTGAGCTGGTTATGTTTGTTTCATACAGGGTAGTAGGCTGGGTTTCTGCTATCTCAGTTGGAGAAGATAAAGAAGCTATAGGAATGACAAGAACAGAAAAATAGTGTTCAATTAGTGGAGGAAAATTTACACCCCCAGCAGAAATAACAAACAAAACTAAATCAGAAATTATCCTTGACTCTTTCTTAGAAATATATTAATAGATGTCCTTGAGGTATTACCCTGCTATGTAGGCATTTCATTATCATGAATAAATCTGATCTAGAGAATGATCTGAGAGCTTAACAACAGAATTATTTCACTTTTTATATTTCTTTTGTTGTTCAGTTGCTAAGTCATGTCTGACTCTTTGCAACCCAATGACTGAAGCATGCCATGCTTCCCTGTCCTTCTCTGTCTCCTGGAGTTTGCTCAAACTCATGTCCATTGAGTCAGCGATACTGTCTAACCATCTCATTTTCTGCCACCCTCTTCTCCTTTTGCCTTCAAACTTTCCCAGCATCGGGGTATTTTCTAATGAGTCAGCTGTTTGCATAAGGTGGCCAAATTATTGGAGCTTCAGCTTTAGCATCAGTCCTGGGGTTGTCATAAGAATTAAGGGGCTTAATACTTATAAAGCAGTTAGCATGTTTCCTGACATTGGAAAAAGAATAAGCATTAACTTCACTGAAATCTTATCCTCAAGTGTTGGGTTAGGCTTCAAAACGGATTAAATGGTCTCTATTCAGAGCTCCTTATAAGACAGAATCTCATTCACTTGGCCCTGTTCTGGCACCCTTATTTTCTCCTCATAATTCTATGTTAAACTGGGCTGAATGCACCATCCTTCTTAGATGTCCACGACCAGTGGTCTGGCTTTTTTTTTTTTTTTTACTATTAATGATTCCTTTGAGAATCTAATAAAAACCATAGATCCCTCTCACTCCGAAAATGCCTAAAGATACAAAAGATGAATATAAGAGGGTACAAGTGGTTCACAGATTCTGTGAAGCCAGGTTTGGAAACCTGTTAAGAATCCCTACCCTAGATTGTACATCTGCCTCAACACAGGGCCCTGAGTTGTGTATATCTTCTACTTTAAAAACTTCTGTGCTTAGAAGTACTTTTGCTTACCTGGCTGGAGGTCCCTTGTGGGTGCTGGCATTGGAAGCGCAGACATAGAGGGCCTCACTGTCACTGGAGCAGTGGTGACCATCATGGTTGGAGCTGTGGTGGTGATTGTTGTTGGCACAACAAGGGTCGTGGTTGTTGGAACAGTGGTGACCACTGTGGTTGGAGTAGTGGTGTTGGTGGTTGTTGGAGTCCTGGTGGTTGTTGGTTTGGGGGTAGTGGTGGTGGTTCTTCGAATAGATTTTTGAATAGTTGTTCTTCTTGGGGTTGTAGTGGTGGTTCTCCGAACAGATTTTCGGATAGTTGTTCTTCTTGGGGTAGTAGTTTTTTGAGTAGTTCTTCGAATAGTTTGTCGATTAGTTGTTCTTCTTGGGGTAGTAGTGATGGGTCTTCGAATAGTGGTAGTCGTTCTTGGAGTAGAAGTAATGCTTGTCTTTCTTGGAGTGGTGGTTGTTCTTGGAGTAGTGGTGGTGGTGGTAGTGGTTCTTGGGGTAGTGGTGGTTGTTGTTCTTGGAGTAGTGGTGGTGGTGGTCGTTGTTGTAGGTGGAGCTAGAAATCAACATGAAAGCAGGGGTTCATCAAGCAGCAGGAAACAAGAGGCTCGTGCTGGGCCTGTGCACCAACACAACCAAGGAGGCTGTCCCCAGGCAGAACTCAGCACTTATCTCCCATGAGCTCCAAGTTCTAGTCATTGGTCAACCAGAACCTGTCACTGAGGAGGGAGTGAAGACATGCTCACAACAAGGCAACAGCTGCATTTAAAGGATGATATTGCGGGAGGTGTTGATATTAAAAAATGACACATGGGATTTGTGTTGAAGCACTTCGTAAGACTAGTCATACATATCAGATTTACATATCTTCATAAACATCTGTGAGGGAGTGACAAATATCTAGAGCCTGAAGCTGTCTTTGTCCTCTCAGCAGTACATGACTGAAACACAAATGGTAGTTCCCAAGACCAGAATATTGACCAAATAAATAGCACTTACTTCTGTCAGTTCTATGGGTACCCTCCCAACATATCTTCATCCTAAATGTGGATTAATTCACATCATTATATACGATGGTAACACAGATGCCATATGTCACCTGGGAAGCCCTGAAAATATAGATAGTATATACATGAATGGATGGGGCTGTGTTCTAATAAAACTTTATTTATTAAAAATATATATATAAACTTAGAAGCTTTTGCACAACAAAGGAAACTATAGGCAAGGTGAAAAGACAGCCTTCTGAATGGGAGAAAATAATAGCAAATGAAGAAACAGACAAAGGATCAATCTCAAAAATATATAAGCAACTCCTGCAGCTCAATTCCAGAAAAATAAACGACCCAATCAAAAAATGGGCCAAAGAACTAAACAGACATTTCTCCAAAGAAGACATTCAGATGGCTAACAAACACATGAAAAGATGCTCAACATCACTCATTATCAGAGAAATGCAAATCAAAACCACAATGAAGTACCATTACACGTCAGTCAGCATGGCTGCTATCCAAAAGTCTACAAGCAATAAATGCTGGAGAGAGTGTGGAGAAAAGGGAACCCGCTTACGCTGTTGGTGGGAATGCAAACTAGTACAGTCACTATGGAGAACAGTGTGGAGATTCCTTAAAAAACTGGAAGTAGAACTGCCATATGACCCAGCAATCCCACTCCTGGGCATACACACTGAGGAAACCAGACATGAAAGAGACATGTGCACCCCAATGTTCATAGCAGCACTGTTTATAATTGCCAGGACATGGAGTCAACCTAGATGTCCATCAGCAGACGAATGGATAAGGAAGCTATGGTACATATACACTATGGAATATTACTCAGCCATTAAAAAGAATTCATTTGAATCAGTTCTAATGAGATGGATGAAACTGGAGCTAATTATACAGAGTGAAGTAAGCCAGAAAGATAAAGACCAATACAGTATACTAATGCATATATATGGAATTTTAAAAGATGGTAGCGATAACCCTATATGCAAAACAGAAAAAGAGACACAGATGTACAGAACAGACTTTGGGATTCTGTGGGAGAAGGCAAGGGTGGGATGTTCTGAGAGAATAGCATTGAAACAAGTATACTATCAAGGGTGAAACAGATCACCAGCCCAGGTTGGGTGCATGAGACAAGTGCTCAGGGCTGGTGCACTGGAAAAACCCAGAGGGATGGGATGGAGAGGGAGGCGGGAGGGGGGATCGGGATGGGGAACACATATAAATCCATGGCTGATTCATGTCAATGTATGGCAAAAACCACTACAATACTGTAAAGTAATTAGCCCCCAACTAATAAAAATATATGAAAAAAATAAAAAAAAATTTAAAAAGCTAAGACTGAAGAAACTACAAGGAAAAAAAATAATAACTGTTGTGAGCTTATTTTATAATCTGATCTGGTCCTATGGCTACTGTTTGCTGACCTGGGTCTAATAGTGTAGTTAAAGATTTTGAAGAACAGTGCAGTATCAATCCTCTCCATTCACTTTGAAATGAAACCTAAAAAAAAAAAGAGGAACCAAGAAAAAAACCTGATCAAAGGAGTATAACAAGGAGGAAATTTAATCAGCTTGTTTCACTAATGTGCCTTGCTCAGGAGTAAATATTCCCTAAGGAAGAAGCTAGGAAGCTAAGGCTAGGAAAAGCTGCTGAGGAAGAGCCCTATGAGAGGTTGAAAGTAAGCTTTTTCTGTGAAAAGTGCAAGAAAACTTAAGTAAAGTATTGGGTTAGAGGCAGAGAGTCACTTTGGCTCAGTTATGAACCCATTTCCCACTGGACAGAGCAGTGACTTTGCAAATATTCATCTGTTAAAGAATTTATAAGCACTATAAATGTCCCCTATTAATTTCTTTCATTATCACTTAAAAAAAGTATTCCTCCAGAACAATCATATAATTTCACAACTCCAAAAATAATCTCTTCTCCACACACAGCCTCCTGCCACATGTGTATAGCACCAGCATCTTTCAGCTTTCTTAAATTGCCTCCAAGATGTTTCCCCAGAGTCAGCTATTTTCTGCATCAGAATTGACCTTCTTTTACTTGCCTTCATCAAATAATCTAAGTGTCCTTGATGAAGATAGGAAAAACTATGAAATTGAAATATCAAGTTCCTTTAAATTAAAAACGAGACCTAGCTTATAAAGGCTCTGAGTATTGGGTTCTGTTTTCATTAGAAACTTTAGTAGGAGAATACTTACTATCAAAGAGCACCAGGAACCAGGAAATACTTTAGAATCTTCTCCTTTCACCAAGTGGTAAGAAAAATTAAAATGTCTACATCAAGATAGAAAAACATAAACTTCCAAGACTTTTGCATTTCACAAAATTCTTAAAAGCCAAAAGTGAACAGTTATTGAGATGAAAATGTTCTCATATGGCAATAGGGTGATTTTAATTTTTAAACAAGCCATTTAGTGATATGATGTGGGTGAAAGTGAAACTCACACAGTTGGGTGCAACTCTTTGCAACTCCATGGACAATACAGTTCATGGGATTCTCCAGACCATAATACTAGAGTGGGTAGCCATTCCATTCTCTAGGGGATCTTCCCAACTCAGGGGTCGAACCCATTGCTTCCTCACTGCAGGCTGATTCTTTACCAGCTTAGCCATGATATAGTGTGAATTGTGCTTCAAAAAAATCCAAGGGCAGAGGAAGGGGATGAAACTATATAGGCTCTTTCAATATATATGCAACAAAATCGCATTGACAATTGTCAAAACCAAATGATACATCTATTTGACAGGACCTTATATTACCTGTTTTGTATGTGTGAAACTCTCTATGAGTCTTAAAATCTTAAGAAAGAACATTTGAAAATTCTCTGAAGAAATGACCTCAGAGAAAAGGTCAGATTTTCAAGAAGAAGAAATTCAGCTCCATAAAAATACTCACTATATCTCAGTGTGGAACAGTGAATGCTTTTTCATGAACCAACTACTATTCCTGAAACACTGCTCAGGAGACAGTTTGCTGACTGGGAAGATCCTCTAGCCTATGGTCTTAAAATCAAGGTTAGTCTTAACACTTCACTCTACACAAATACAAGATATTCAGTTGAAGAGTTATTAGAAAACAACATCATAGGGAAATTTTCTTTCCCTACTAAAGGAAAAGAAAGTTAATATCAGACAGAAAACTCTTATCTCTGGGAACCCACAGGAAGTGATCAAAGAAGTAGGAAGATAAGCTCACCTGGATTTACCCTCAACTCTAGGGTGGTTTTTATGTCATTGAACCACCCTCTCCTCTCAATTCGGCAACAATACAAGCCACTGTCAGACAGGGCGGCATTGTTTATGGTCAAAGACACATCCCTTCCACCAATATGTCCATTTAGCTGGTAACGTCCATCCCTCCGATAGGTGACTCTGTAGCCATCAGTCCAGATGATGTTAGTTCCACAATTAAGCCAAGGACATGCCCCTCGGCCCCAGCACATGCTTGTGACTTCACCATTATAGTGGCAGGGTAGCCTGACAGACTGACCCGCCACTCCAGTCACTCGGTGGTAAGAGGTTACACCATCTGTAAATAAAGAGACACCAGAGCATGCATCTCAAAATTTTAACTTTAGTTTTATTTTCAGTTTGTTCTTTATACAGCTTATGTGGTTTGAAATTATCTAACCATATCTTGAGTTTTTGAATTTAATATATGCATTTTTCTTGTAAACATATTCTTTAGCAGTGTTATTATTAACGAGATATATCTGAGGATGAAACATCATATAAACATTTTTATGTATTCAGGATTATTTACTAATAGGACAGATTTATGAGAGAAAGTATCAGGATTTTAAAGGGCAGAAATATGTTCAGTCTTTTGGTGAATATGATTCCAATTCCTCTCCAAAAGGTTTGAAACAAACAACATTCCAGTAATGCATCAGTGTGTGTGCATTTCATCCTGTGTTTGACAGGTATCTGCTTACTAAATGTTAATACATACAGGTGGTGTTTCCTCTCCCTTGATTCAATCACTGTCTCAGGTGAAATCTGATTTAAAAACTGTATTGCATTTAAAATTTTGATTTTCAATTTTATTGAAATTTTTTAAATGGCTATGCAAAAAATTTCACCTAACAAATCTTCTCTAAGTTAAAGAAAAAATAGTGAATATTCTACTCACAGCATTATTGGCTAGAAGGCAGACGCCAAGTAAAGTCTTTAGAAATCAGTTTTTAGAAAAAGGGTTTATAATACTCTCAGAAGGAACGGAGGCTGATAATGGGCTTTGTTGGTTTTGTTTAGTTGCTAAGTTGTATTGGACTCTTTGCCACCCCATGGACTGTAGCCCACCAGACTGCTCTGTTCATGGAATTTCCCAGGCAAGAATACTGGATTGGGTTGCCATTTCCTTCTCCAGGGGATCTTCCCGACTCCTGGATCAAGCCCATGTCTCCTGCATTGGTAGGTGGATTCTTTACCACTGAGCCACCTGGGAAGCCCAGCATGGGACTTAGGATCAGTTAAAAAATATTCAAGCAGGGACCCCTTCTCATTAGTTGATGACTGTCCTGCAATGGAGCACTGTCCAGTTAGCCAGGGGAAATCAAAAAATTGGACAATATTAATTCAAACAGTAAACTTTACCTCTTAAACACAAACAGGCAGGAAAACTCTCTCCTGCAGCAGTGGTTTAAAAAACTGTATTGCCAAATGAAGTCTGAGTGGTCCTTAAAAGAAATCTGAGATTCAACAACCAGTCATAGTTAGAACTGGGCTGTAAAGTCTGGGAACTGCTCTGGGAATAAAACACTCATTGTTATATAAAATAAGTCTACTTTTTATTATCGGAATTCTGATTATGTTTAATTTTGCTTAATATCATTTTGAATTATAAAGGTAATTTATGCTGATTAGTGTAATTTGTTACAGAATATAATTTAAAAATGTACTTTTCTTCATATTCCTACCTCTAGAGATTTTTTTTAAATTTAGGATATGTTTACTCCTAAAAATTTCCCCATCTCATAGAATGTTAAAATATGAGATAAATTAAACAACTTTGTTTATTAAATATTACATTTTTTTGTTTATTGATTAAAAAAATATATTTGGCCACAAGGCACCGCATGTGGGATCTTAGTTCCCCCACCAGGGATAGAACTCGTGCTTCCTGCATTGGAAACACAAAGTTTTAACCACTGGAAATCCAGGGAAGTTCAAATATTTTCTTTTTAAAAGAAACAGTTACACATGGTTAAAAAAATCAAAAAGTACAAAACGGTACAATAAAGGACTCGTCTGCTTCCCACCCATCCCCATTGCTTCTTCCAACCCTCATCCACAGTTACGCTTTCTAACATACACTTGAGTAGTTCATGCATACACAACCGTCTACCTACTCTTTTTATTTAAACACAAATGGCAACATAAGCTGTATTGTACTGCAGCATGCCTTATTCACCTACACATAGATTTTTAAGCATTTAAGCAATTTCTTTGGCTTAAGTTTTCAGCTTGGTTCTTTGCTCACTAGTGGATCCCATTTTGACAAAGCCCTAGGTGTTAACGTCTACCTTCCTCCACCATACCCACACACCCACACACCCCCTACACCACACCCACACACCCCCTACACCTCCCCCTACATCCTTGGGGTTCCAGAGCACAATCCACTTATTCACTTACCTGGCAGGAGTAGGAGGCCCAGGATGGCTACCCAAGGACGCATGATGCTATTGGCCTGAAGGAAAGAGAAAGCAGACTGCTTGGTGTGGCCCTCAATCAGATGGGATCAGAACAAGTCTTCATTCTCAGATGGCAGCTTCTCCTTTCACCCTTACAGGGTGAATCCCATAAGCCTGCCTGCTGGAAGCAAGACCACACTTGCAAATGCTTCCGCTCTCTGTCTGCTCCAGGTGACTGAGAGCTCTGCCCCTTCCAACAGACAGCCACAGCTGTCCTCGGAAACATCCCGACTTACACAGCTCCTTTCCTGCACTTAGAGCCCACGCTGACTCTAGGGACAGAGGAGACAAGGGAGCAAACACAAAGGAAAGGAGAGGAATGCTCAGCAGGGACACCAGAGCGAGCCCAGACTTCCCATGGCAAAGCTGCACTTTTCCTTAGCCTTGAAGATGAGTCACCTGGCTTTCTGGCGAGAGGAGGGTACTTCTTCCTTTGTGGTCACAATGGCTAGTCCCCAGCCTTAGTCAAATGACCAAACGTCCACTGAGCTAAGAACTCAGAGTTGTGAGTTTCACTTAGGGCTCAGGAGACTGCCTCTCAGATGGCTCTGAGGAGCCACACCCAAGAGCGGTGGAGCGATCAGCTTATATGTGATTTTGGAAAACAATCAAACATCTCAGTAGAAGGTTGCCACTAGGTACAAGAAACAAATACCTCAGTTAATGCCTTTAGCATTTTTCTAAGTACAGGAAGATGAAACTTGGATTCATAAAAGTTTCTCCTGCAAATATCTATCTGAAGGCCTGTTTTACCAGTTTTCCCAGAACACAGAGGACTTCATTTTGGATCATTGCACTGAATTCCTTTCAGGGTATATGGAGTATCAGTGACTACAGGGGCTAGTGACTTAATTCTTACAGAACCAGATGGCTAGGGACACTCCTTAGCTGGCAGTGCCCCCTCATGGTCATAAATTCAACCATGATTTAGGAGGCAGTTCATAGCCACTCTATCCCATAGTGCAGAGAATACCTTTTCTCAGTCAGGCCAGTATTCTGATGATCTTCAGTGTGGTATTACTGGACTAGGCACTACTAAGAGTAGACAAAAGACTTTGGACTACATGTCTTTCAAATCTGTTTCAGTCCAAGCAGATTACCGTGTTGCTTCTTCCCATATGTAGAGCTACACTATTATAAACTTGAGTTCATAAATAAATGTATACATGTATGGCTCTTAAATAAATATATATATCCAAGTTGCCTAATCATCATTTTATCAGAGGCTTAGTCACACATTTAGTAATGCAAGAAATCACAATCTTGTAAAATAGGCCAAATGCAAGTAATATAGCTAGTAGCAGCAATAGGGTCATAAGTAAATATTTAGGCCAAGAGTTTCAATTAGGTGTGATCCTGTATATTGACAGCTCATCTGACTCAATCTGTCCTGTACAAATCACTATCTTAAAGGTAATGAAATACTTGTATTGTTCACAAGGCATCCAGCCTAATTCCCTAGTGTTATTAGGCTGATTATCCTTAGTTTAACTGTTCCCAATGTAAGGGAGATTTTAAACTTAAATGATTTAAATAATCTGGTGGGAGTCATATAATTCCACCTTGTAACTGAAGGAGGGTCCCTCCTAATAATCAGGAAGTTATATTTGCTGACTGAAATTTAGTTTGTTATTATTCAGCTTGAGTAACTTTAAAAGAAAATTCATTATTATAACCATGGTCAGAGAGAGCACCATTGATTGGCCAAGTGAGGGAGTCCTATCTAGGAATATCAATAGTTGCCCAAACAGAACTATAGCTTTCTTCTGGAATAAACTTCCTAAGGGGCATCCAATTAGACCTGTGGAGAGGAGAAATCCACCAAGGTAACCCAGAAGTACTAGATTAGGTAACTGATCATAAGCCTAACAATTGGATTAATTTTTAAACTCTGTGTAAGACTTACACCATGATTTTAAAAAAAACATGCATTTATGAAGAAGTACAAGAAATTATCAAAAATAATTATAATATATAGTTATATCCATATTTCTAGAATTATATAATAGGACATTATTATCTAATGTAACTATTATGCTGAAAACACTGTAACTAATCATACAGGTCAAATTGGGAATCTAGGGATAGCTGTCCACTTCTGATGTTGTCTTCTCTTTGTCTTGGTGTGAGTGTAGTTTCTCCTCTGTCTGAACTTTTTTTAAAGGTGAGTCTAAGGGCTCCAGTGCAAGAACTCTTTCTAAGTGGAAAATACAAATCCAAAAGTCAATTTCTTTCATTTGTTCTGTGCACCATTTAATCAAGAATACCTGACAAGTGTCCTTTGATCGAGGTTGGAGACAGTCCTTTAAATTATGCCTTTCCAACATGCATAATCTTCTGGTTATACCTCATGGGGCATCTGATATTCATCCAAAGACAAATTACAGTGATTTGCTTCAGAAACAAACATAGAGTGTCCTTTTAATAATTCAATTAAACTTTATAATAATGTAACCTAGCAACAGGGGTCTATCTAGGAAGTGAGTCTTGGGCAGTACATACAGACCTAAATTAACAATACTAGAATTTAATATCCATATATGTAATTTTTCTCTCTAAAATTATGCTGACATCTATCAAATATAGTGAAATTAAGAGTAATTTTTTTGCAAAAATAAGTCTGCTTTCAGTAAACTTGGCCTGATTACTTATATAGGTGCAATTGATCGTACAATCCTTTTAAAAATTGGTTTGGTGGAACTTTTTATTAAGAATTTCAGATTGAGTTTTTAAAAGGTTTCTTTCTCAAGGCAAGAAAAGTCATCCCAAGGGCATGCCATCAGATCCCACCTGTGATACCTATAGACCTAGATTAATTTCTCTCTTTTCAGTGTTCCAAAGTGTCTTCAGATTCCTACAACTGTCAGGAGGTGGACTTTTTTTTTTTACTTGATAAGTCTGCTAGCAAACTAAGAGTTTACAATTTTGGAGGGATCAGGTAGAAAGAAAAGATAAATGTTTCAATTTTGCTTACAAAGGTATCACTAACCAAATTGCTGTAAGTCATAATTAGTTTAAGGGGAAAGGTTTCCTTATCTCTGGAAAACAAAGTAACAAGCAGTAATATCTCAGACTAGAAAAACCAGAGAATCTGTAACAATGTTCATCAGTTCACTCAGTCCTACGTAACTAGTTCTTGATCTTTTGTTAACAGTTTTATAAAGCTTTTAAAAGCCTGCACTTGTCAAAAATCCTTTCTGTGAATTTTCTTGAAAATCAAGCATTTTTGCAAAGGCATTGAGACCAAACAGTAACTCTGAGCAACAAAGATTTTTAAAGACATGTTTAAAGATCCAATTGTGATGCAACTGACAAACTTTTATACTCCTGTGACAGAACATTTTAAGATAATAATCAGAATTAAGACTGATAACATTTTACTATGACATACCAGATTCTTAGGAATTCCAATAATTTCTAGAGTATCTAAAACATATCCCCATACAATATAGCCTAAGGATGTTTATCACCATCCGTTTGAAATGCTTCGCATGCAATTTAACATACCATATAAGCCTAGTTAGTTTAATATTTTAATCTTTGATAAAGAGAGAAAACAATTCCCTTAGGTGTTTCAGGACCTTCTGGAAAATCTCAAAGTAAGCTAAAGGTCAAATGAACTTCAAGTAGAATTTGATCTCTGGCAAGTTTGCCAAAAATATCAAAAGACTTTAAAAAAACACTTGGTCAGGTGGCATCAGAGATCACTGTGAAACAATACTTATTCACTTAGCCAAGAAACAATAAAATATTTCAAAGGCAAATATAGAAATTTATTAAAAAATTACTTAAAATATAAAGAAAATTAACAATCTGTTACAAAAAGCAGATCAATATTCTTAAGAAAACTCTCCCCTCTTAATAGAGAGAAACCAAATTCAGGTTTTGTACCATTTTGCCTTTAATATTGAAATTCATGTGCCCAATTAAATTAATTCTAACATTAGTTCTGCCCAAACAAAATCCTTTCTAAAGTTTCATTTTTCCTCTCAACCCTACACATTTCTATACTTATAATAATCTGCCTCTTCTTTCTTATTTAGAAATAACTAGCAGTAGAACAAAATTATTTTCTTTTTCCTTAATAAATGCATTTTTATTTCATATATCTTCTTCTTCCTTGCATACAAAACTGTTTTCCATATTACCTTTATAGTCTAATTAATTAGAATTATCAAATTTTTAAAGTATTGGGTCTTCATTGGGGCATGCAGGATCTTCAGTGGCAGCATGCAAGCTCTTAGTTGGGGCACATGAGGTCTAGTTCCCTGACCAGGGATCAAACCCAGGCCCCTGCATTGAAAGCACAGAGGCTTAATCACTGAACCACCAGAGAAGTCCTGAACTATCCACTTTAAAAAAACCTTAATTTCTAGTGAAAACTGAGAAGCAAGAAATTACATACTGTCTTTTACTTTAGCATCCAAAGATTGGCAAACTTGAAATACTATTTATATAAACTCAATATGAAGAAAATAAGATCATTCAAAATTGGGAAAGGAGTACATCAAGGCTGTATATTGTCACCCTGTTTATTTAACTTACATGCGGAATACATCATGAGAAATGCTGGACTGGATGAAGCACAAGCTGGAATCAAGATTGCCAGGCAAAATATCAACAACTTCAGATAGGTGAATGATACCATTTTAATGGCAGAAAGCAAAGAGAAACTGAAGAGCCTCTTGATCAAAGTGAAAGAGAGTGAAAAAGCCAGCTTAAAACTCAGTGTTCGAAAAAAGAAGATCATGGCGTCTGATCCAATCACTTGATGGCAAATAGTTGGGGAAACAATGGAAACAGTGACAGACTTTATTTTCTTAGGCTCCAAAATCACTGCAGATGGTGACTACAGCCATGAAATTACAAGACACTAGGATCCTTGAAAGAAAATCTATAACCAACCTAGACAGCATATTAAAAAACAGAGACATTACTTTACCAAAATAGGTCCATCTAGTCAAAACTATGGCTTTTCCAGTAG